CGATCGTGTGCCACACCCCCCGCTTTACCCTGGTTATGACGTTGTTGCCGCTTTCCAAATTTGTTCGAGCAGCAACAGATTTAAAGTAAATACCTCTTTCTCAAACGCTTCAAATCAAAAAAGGCTGCTGCTCATCCGCCCAGCACTGTAACGTAATTAGACCATCTTTCTGTTATCAACTAACTGTCTCTATTTATAAGCTCATTGACATCCACCCCGTTCAATCAAATTAGATTGCAGTTTAGTTCTCAGAGATCTATTGTTTCCGAGTGGTTGAAAAACTGCTTGGAATAAGGTGTTGAGTAGCGTGGACTGCTCATCAATTAACATAACTATTGCATCTCCTGAAAAGCAACACATTGTTCCTGTTCATTGTTGCGCTCCAATTCCAAAAAAGACGGAACGTTTTCCGGGGTTTCCACGGTTTATTTACGCTTTTCTCGGAGATACAGAAGGATTGAATGAGTGGACGGCGTGTAATACCTTGCCTGTTAAGTTTCAAGGAACGAGTCTGTGGCCACAAACTCGTTCTTCAGAACAGTGTTTTGTTGTTACCATGTGTTGTTACCGTAGGTGTCATTTGTCATATCATTTATTTGAACTATTTCTATGTATGACTTGCAGGTCAAAGCCGATTTTATCAGATTATCCGGATCTTTACTTCAAAGTAAGAAAAGCTCAAAATGATAAGATACCTATGTGGAGATCATATATTACCCGCACTCGATTTGTAGACAGACATGGCTGCTCGGGGGAAAAAACGAGTAAGACAGCAGGGCTCAGAAAATGATTTGGGATGAACAAAGAAGTGCCATAAAGTGAGACATTCAAATTGTGGAATATGCTTTTCTATGAATCATAATGACATGGAAGCACACGTTTCATTCCGGCAAGTAAGTAACCAGTCAGATAGATATTGAAGCAGTTAGTAGCCGTTGGTTGGGAGGTTTGTGATCTTGTAATGCACTATGACAAAAAATCATAAAGCCGAAAGAACTATGAATCCTCATCCTTCGAAACACAGCGAGATATGTGTCGTCCATTATTAACAACAACAGTGCTGCGAGGAGTACCGCTCGTTTCGTAAATGCTCGTGCTTAGGTAGAAAGCATTGCACATGAATTGCGAAAAGTACAAGATTTGTGAGATTGCTGTAAAAGAAAGTTTTTCCTCATTTGTCAAGCTCAGTGGGATCGTCAAACTCACGCTCCAGAACTGCTAATGTCTTTTGATCAATCCCATCATCGTCGAAAGTGAGCCACGCACGGAGAATATGGGATGGGAGGTTGAGAACCAGGTTCAGCACCGATATGATTATTGAACGCATTACCATCGCTGTCTTTCGCTTGACATACGACTGCCGCTTCTTGGTGAAATGCTGAACACAATATGAGAGGAAAAGTAAAAAGGGATTGCTAATGTAAAGAAATATATGACGTGAAAGATGAATGACTAGCTACGAAATTATTCATATCCTCACGAACCAACCTCAGACGTTGCTGCTGATATGGACATGACAAGAGTCATATTTTGTCGAACATCAAGGGATGTTTCGTAGTCAGCAGTAAGGGAGCACCTAGAAAAAAAGGCATTTGGGTCATGAAGTCGCCACCCCTCATCAAATTTATGACGTTACACCTTACCTTTGATTCTGTGACGGCACACTTATTGCACATCTCCTTTCATAGAGTGGCATGTCCATCATTGACGATGGACTGTAGCATTGAAATAGAACGACTCCATCAAAAAATATCCGTAACAATGATGGAACTGCGTAGAATAATGCAATGTCCATAAGATGAGCGGCCTAAGATGTG